CAACAGAAAAGTTTCTCAGCCCTCTTATAAAATTCTACAGCATGGTTGTTCGTGACTAAATGTTGAAACAAATGTTTGAATTGATTATATGGTTCATTCCGCTTAAGTCCTCAGCGCACTACAGAATGCACTACAGAAAGAAGCCACCATGCACACACAAGGTATGTTGAGTGTTTCACTGAGATCACATGGCTCCTTTTCAATCATCCGTGCATGTGTTAGTTTTTTGCTGCAACACAAGTGACATACATCATTATACGTGTTGATCAGTTTTAGATGTGTTAAACCCAAAGGTTTGAGGGTTACACATTGTTATATATACAGCATAGCTTAATGAAAGGTGGAACTTGCTTGGTAAATTAGAAAATGTTAAAATCAGAAGCTACACTTTTTCAGGAAAAAGCTCCATTTATCTTCAATTGGAAAATTCCTTGGCCAAGCAACATAAAATTCAGATCTTGGGGTTTAGCTTCACTTTTATGTGGTCGAACCCCATATGTCCTTTTATTTTGTGTAACACTGAAACCAGAGCAAAACTCCCCACCTGCAGAGTACACCAGGTACACAGCAAACATGGGGAGCTACCTCCCCACCACTCACACCCAGGGAAGGCAGCATGGGCCGCTGGGACATCCAACACCCCCTCGGAATTCATTTTTTTACCATGAGGGTGGTGAAACACTGGAATGGGTTGCCCAGAAAGGTGGCAGATGCCCCATGCCTGGAAACATTCAAGGTAAGGTTGGACGGGGCTCTGAGCAACCTGATCCAGTTGAAGATGTCCCTGCTCATGGCAGGAGGGCTGGACTAGATGACCTCTAAAGGTGTCCTCCAACCCAAACCATTCCATGGTTCTATGGCTCTGTGACTCCTCACCCGCGGCCCTGCAGCTGGCACCGGTTGAGGGCCGGCAGCCCCCTGCTGCCAGGAGAGAAAAAGAAAAAAGCGGGCAGAGGAGGGTTCCCGCTGAAGAACCAACCTAGGCCGGAGCAGCCGAGGCCGGGCAGGGCCCGGGAGGAGAGGGGCGTTTTGCCCTCCGGGCTGGGAGCTCGCCTGGGGACCGGCCAGCACCCCGCGCTGTGTCGGTGGGACCCTGGGGCCGGGGCCGTGCGTGCCGAGGGCCTTGCGCAGGC